AAGTGACAACCGCCGATCAGATTTATCAATGCCAGTCTTCTTCGGCCCCGACCTCCGAATCTTTAGGAGTTTGGGAAAACTTCCACTTTTCCCTATTTTCCCAACACGGAATCGGCGAGTCTTTGACAACCACGAGATGTCCAATAGGGACATCAGAAGGCTATTTAAATATTCCCTTCGTCGCCTTATTCAGGCAGATTGGCAAAGGAAAGGCAAGGGGGGCTCCACCCGCTGGTTCTGCAATACATGGGGACAGGCCGACAAATTGGCAACACTGGTGGATGGAAAGTTGTGGTTCTTTGATCAGGTCTGAGAGTGGTTTGGTGGAGGGCAGTTTTCGATAGAACTGTTTGGCTTTTTTCCGAGTTGTCATTTCGGTTTGTGTGGTAGCTTTATAGTTTTTATTGGTCCTGGTGGCTGTGTTTGGCTTCTTACCTGGATACTCGGTTCTATCTCCACAGGAGGAGGGTGGAGGGATAGGCTAGCGGAGGGAGTATCAAGTGGCTCAACGGTACCAGTCTTGGGTCCAACTGTCGCCTTAGACAGCTGCAAGTAGATGCTAGGATAGTGTGGGTTTGGGGTAGTTAAGTTTTGTTGAATTGTTCGGTTCTGAGGCTTGTGCTGCGTTTCACACTAGGAATGAGGTTTCAGGACAGCAGCCTAGAGTTGGCTATTTCTGTGCCTAGATATTCCTTATTCCTGTTTTCCGGGTTGAATTGTGAGGTCCCCGGCCTCTTTTGTTGAGCTATAATGGAATGCCCAAACGGGCTAATTTGAGGGGAAAAAAAAAAAAAAAAAAGCCTATATAAAAGTAATTAAGTTCTGGCCGCTGTGCACGGAGTTCACGCAAAATCATCGAGGCGGTGTTTACAAGGCTTGTGTGCCCGGGCGGACATGCATAACATGCATGCGTGCCTGTTTGCCAACAGGCGCGCGCGTGAAAGTGGGCTACTGCGTGCACGTGTGCATGTGTGGTCATCTGGTGCGTGTATGTCTGCGCGCATCTGGTGGGTGCGCGCACACACTTGTTTGCGGGGACCTCGCTCCGCTGCTTTCAAAATGCGCAAAGGCCTGGACCCCACTGGCCGGCGGCTGGAAAAGTTTAGGCCTGGAAGGTTGGGGTCCGAATGCGCAAAGTAAGGCGTGAACCCACTGGCCGGCGGCTGGAAAAGTTAAGGCGTGGAAGGTCTATTTCGGACCCCACCAGGCCGCCCGGAAGCGATTTTGAGGTATGCGAACGTGGTTTGCAGACCCCACTGCCGTCCTGGAAACCGTGGTGGCCGTGTTTCTACATGGCTGGCGGCTGGAAAAGTCTCTGACAGAAACCGGCACTCGTTTTCCAAAGTGCCCTGTTTCTGGCGGTGGAGGGCAAAGCGCCAACTGCTGGCGTCGGGGAGCGGCAAGGTGTGGTGCAGTTCACCGGTGGCACGGACTTCATGCTGGACCAGGACAACAAACTGCGGGGGGAAGTCGTGTCTTTTGTCTTTTGTGCATGTCGAGAGTAGTGGAGCGAGGTCCTGTCTGTGTGTGTGCGCGCGCGCGCGCGCGTGTGCCTGTGTGTGAGTCGGCCTCCCTAACGACAACTTGACAAAGGAGTGGACACTGTGCGTGCGTGTGTGTATGGTGCGTGTGAGAGAGGGGCGGAAGCGTCTCGTTGTGGCCCGCAGAAGCAATGCATCCGTTCAGGCGATCAAGACAAGAGAAGCATTCAGGGCGTACTAGAACTCGGACGTTTTTTGTTCATCTCTGGACGTAACTGCCGTGAGACATATTCGACTTTCCGTAGTCTTTGATTCGTTGTCACATACGTCCAGGAAAGTGGGAGTCAAGTGGGGAAGAGGTCCGTACTGATGGGTGGGCTTTCGTGCGTGCCGACAATATCTCTGCGATCATTTATGTCCGTTCCAATAAACTCCCACCGTTAGAAAATCTCGTAGACGATTGTCGAATTATTGGACCGTAACAAACGGTTCTGTTGCAATCCGGATGTCTGCGAGTGTGTCTACTTGACTCTCCGTGGGACCATCCCGAGCCCGCGCGCAACCTCTCTCCCGTGCTCATCTCTCTCTCTCTCTCTCTCTCTCTCTCTCTCTCTCTCTCTCTCTCTCTCTCTCGCACACACACACACACACACACACACACACACACACACAGGCGTGCGTGCCCCTCCTCGGCTGGTCTCGAATACCATCCAGAGGCCGCGCTCAACTCACTCACGTGCTCATCTCTCTCTCTCTCTCTCTCTCTCTCTCTCTCTCTCTCTCTCTAGCGTGCGTGCGCGCCCTGCACGTCGCCCTTGTGCTCGCCAATCTACGTCAGACTGATTGAGAGGCGAGTCCACGCAGCAGACTGATCATTCCACTGCACTCTGCCCCATCCATGGTGGTCACAAGTCTGAGCTCCCATTGATCACTCGTTAGGAACGAAGCGCAGATTGGTCGGCGAGTAGGGAGTACCGGTGTCTCTAAAACTGTGTGCTCTTACCTTTTTGAAAAGTCGAAGTGTCTCTGAGAAACTAGAGCTTAGCTAAGGTGCTGAATGTGTTCATCAAGAAGATCATGATCGTCGGTATTGCATTAAAACGGCATCACTTGTGAGCGTGATTCTTTCACGCCGTAAAGCCGACCTCTTATGTGCACCGCGACCCGTGCCAGCATGTGGGACGAAGGCAGGTAGACAGACAGGTTTGTACTGAGGGGATTGCCGTTAGATTAGGACAACCCACGGAGCGGGCAGGCCCTGTTTAACTGCTTGCAACGCTCAGTGCGGGTGAAGAGTTGGGTTGTGAGAACAAATTTCGAGCGAGGTAGGAATAATATGGGCCTCGCCGCACTACTCACCAAATATACAAAATGAGAATGGACCTTCCGCTAGAGCATGGAAAGATGCACCGCTATCATGATTGTCTTTTGTGCATTTACTGAGTAGTGCGGCGAGGCCTTATACCAGAGTTAAGTTACGTAGGAGGAGGTTAAACGACCGTACCTACCAACGTGCGTGCTGAAAGGACGGTAGGTCCGGTAGGATAATCCCGGGCGTTCTAACGGTAGTAGCGCTGTGTGTGTGTGTGTGTGTGTGTGTGTGTGTGTGTGTGTGTGTGTGTGAGAGAGAGAGAGAGAGAGAGAGAGAGAGAGAGAGAGAGAGAGA